ACATGCTCTTTGAATTCTATGGTTTTATGTATCAAGACATAATAAACATCATCTGGTCCTTAGAATTAGGTAAACACAGCCTCAGATGAACAACACATGACGTATTACACTGTGTCATTGTCACACCCTTGCCTTGGTTCAGTTCTGGGACCTTCTGTCTTTGGAATGGTTGCTTTCCTCTCGAGCCACTGGAAGGATCTTGTTTTAGGTTAGACTTCTCAGCTTTGACTAGTCTCTTACCCCGACTACTGTTCAACCGTAGGCAGTTACCTAATTTACGCGCTATAGATAATGACTTCTTGTTCCTGTCTTTGTGTCTTTGCCTGTGTATAGGTCTTGCTTTGTGTGTCCTGGATATGCGTATGTACTGTCTGTTGGATTTCTGGTTACTGAACTTCTGCTGACGCAGCCTAGATTCTGACTTTGCTTCTCCTGGATTTCCCTTTCATACTCTTGCCCTTTGTTTGTTGCTGACCTGGCCTGGATTCTGATACCGATTCTGCTATATCCCCTGGTGCTGAGATTTCCTGCTTTCTGGTTACTGACCTTGGCTTGTAGATACCTGACTGGGAGATACTCTTTTAGTTATTGTATCTATTGCCTATCCATATTCCTAGTGGTCCTGTGGACTATTCGCACATCATTTACTGGGTTCCTGTATTTCTCCCAGGTGCGAGGTTCCAACCAATCACCCCATCTGATACCAGGATAACAAGACTACTGGTCAGGAAATTGAGGTGATAGGTGGGACTTCTTGGCAGGCCAGACAGTCATTATTAGAACTCTACTTTGTAGTGCCAGGAACCACCAGGTAACTCTTTCATTCCATTATTTATTCTGGGCCATCGACTTGTGACGGGCATGGTCTGTGATGAGCCTGAACTGCCACCCTAACAAATAATACTTTAGGCTCTCAAGTGCCCACTTGCTGGCTAGACATTCTCTTTCCACAATGGCATACCTACATTCAGCAGGGGTGAACTTTCTACTAAGGAAGGCTACAGGGTGTTCCTCCCCATTCACAGTTTGGGATAGCACTCCTCCTAAGCCCACCTTTGATTCATCAATTTGCATCACAAATTTCTGTGCAGTTGGGAGAAATCAATACGGGCTTTTGCACAGGGATAATTTGAGGTTCTGAAAAGCTTTCTCTACCTCAGGGGACCATGCGATAACTAAGGATTTGCCCCCTATTGTAAGGTATGTGAGTGAAGCTGCCTGCCAAAGTGGCAAAATAGAGGACATACCTTCTGTAATAGCCAATTAACCCCAAAAAGGCTCTTATTTGTTTTTTATTTAGGGGTCTGGATCAACTCTTGATAGCTTGGATTTTTGTGACTTGGGGCTTTACTACCCCCCCTACCCATAATGTAACCCAAATAGCAGGCTTACTCTAACCCAATTGCAAACGTTTTGGAATTGGCTGTCAGTTCGGCATCCTGGAGGGCATTAACAGCCTGTACTTTGGGCAAATGGCTCTCCCAATCTGCACTAAAAATAACTACGTCATCTAAGTACGCAGATGCATAGTTTCGGTGGGACTTAAGAATACGGTCCCGGCAGGTTTCATAGACACCCTGCTACAATATATAACACAGAAAATTGTATACTCACCATCCATAAATGTCCTTTCCTGGTGCATCTTTATTGCAGCACACAGGTCCTTCTCTGCATGGCTCATGATTTTGACGAGAATGGGAGCTAGCTCTAGAGAACGGAAATTATAGAGGGCATCTCCTATGGGGATAAGGGGCGGAGCATTAACCCATTGTGTGCTGCCATGAAGATGCCCCAGGAAAGGAAAATTACAAAAGGTGAGTATACAATTTTCCATATATATGTATATTGTGATATTTGGGAAACTTTAGCACAATGGTGAGCTCTTAATGACCAGTCTCGAAGCCATTTTAACATAAAAAGGACAGTCTTTTATTTCTTCCACAAGAGAAAAATAGCGTTCTTCAGCAGCTCAACATAAAGGCCACTTGCCTTTCAGCAAACAGAATATATTATTTCACCGTTCTTAGATTGTCCTGTTCAGTCACAGTGTCCCAGTCCCAGGACTTTAAAGTGTTCCTTAACAAAAACTCCTCAGAAGTACTTTGTACTTCCAGCAGCTTTCCACACAACTCTCATGTGATTCCAACACACACGTTGTATGCCTGGCTCTCTCGGCCTCTCCAAATCTTCCAGCCTCCCTGGCTGTTCCTTGTGTGGCTCCACCACACACCACCTGGCTTGGCCCTCATGTGCCTCCAGCACACACCACACTAAAGGTGCCCATACACCTTACAATTATCTGCAGATTTTCTGTGGTCAGATGGAAAAAGTGCAACAGATTGGCCCAGGTGCAGATTACTCCATCCACACAGTTAAGTGTAGATGGAGGAATCTGTTGCACCTTTTCCATCTGACCACAGAAAATCTGCAGATAAATTGTAAGGTGTATGGTCAGCTTAACTTCCCCCCTTGAGCTCCGGTCTGGACTCTTAATGAGGCTGCTCTCAGCCACCTGATCAGCAGCAACACCTGGCCCAAGGACTGCAGATTTCATCTCACCCAGAACACTTAAGGTGCCCATACACTGCTCGATTCTCGTATGAGAATCGCTGGAAATCCCGCGATCGTACGAGAATCGAGCAGTGTGAATGAAGACGTGCGGCCGTTTCTACTGTACGGTCGCACGTCTTTTGTCTAAGGAGCACGCTAGAAAACCAGACGAAAATCGTACGATTTTCGGCTGGTTTGAGCGGTGCTCGGGAGACAAATGCCAAACAGCGGGGCGGTCTTGCGATGATCGAGAGTACGATCTGCCTGTCCAAGATGGGCAGATCGTACAGGTCTTGCAATGGTTGTAAAGTGTATGGCCACCTTTAAATATCTCCAGAGTTCCAGAACCCAGCTACAATCCCCAAAACCCGGAAGGAACTGAAAGGCCAGCTCCTTCCCTGCAAAACCGACCCCTCAGGCACTGTCACTACATATATATATATATTTAATTGAAAGCACGTTATATATAAAAGGCTGTAAGATAACAACACCATGTCTGCAGTTTTGAAGACTGAGTTTTTGTAGACCACAATCTTTGCAATCTTTGATGGCTTTAGCCCTTCAAGCATATTGGAGAGATTTGTGGCGTGCCCGGTTAAGACTGTTAAATGGACATGAGATAAGTGTGATGCATGTGGTGAGCTCAAAGATGACCCTGTTTGTCCAGGCACTGCAGAAGATAAAGGTTATTTGAGAGAGCCATAGAGCAGTCGATACAAATGCGGTGAGTATTGCCAGTAAAGTTCCTGATGGAGTCGTTGAGGGCCACGGTGGAGTCATTGAGAGCCCCGATGGAGGCTCTGAGAGCCCCGATGGAGGCTCTGAGAGCCCCGATGGAGACTCTGAGATCCCCGATGGAGTCTCTGAGAGCCCCAATGGAGTCTCTGAGAGCCCCGATGGAGTCTCTGAGAGCCCCGATGGAGTCATTGCTATTAGTTTTGTAGTCATGAAGTGGATGACCATAGTCTAGGAGGAGTGTCATCCATTTTTGCCTGAGCAACAGTTGGGTCGCCCTTATCGGAAACCCAAGGTTGCATTTTCACAATATATTTTTGGGGTCTGGATGCTGCTTGAATGAATTCTGAGTTTACATATAAATTTAGAAACCCCACAGCTGAGCAGCTCAGAGGGTTTTACTTAAGGTGATATAAGTTCGATCAGATGGCATTAGTAGGTGGCACAGGCGTTGAGTCCACAGTCAGTGAGCATCAGTGTTTCTGTGGCACAAATTGGGCTCTGTTATGAAACTGCAGGTGGGACATCTTATACAAAGCAATGAGGGGCTGACAGTGTCTGCTTCTATGTAATGCAGTGATGACCCTCTGGATGCAAACTGCATGCAGGGGCAATCATCCATAAGTAATCGATGCATGTCCAATTACTTACGAATGGCCGCGGGTGCTGTCAACCTCTCATTACTTTATATAGAGCTTGCCACCCACAGCTGTTCTCATAAACACCACTGAAGCTCAACATAGAATTTGTGAGATTGTTCCTAAACACAAATGAAAACGTTGGGCCCCAAAGGACCAAATAAGAAAAGTTAATTTTTAGGGTTTCCAAGAACATTATTTAACCCCTAGGAAGGGAATTTCCCTCATTTTGTAGAGATTGCCTCTAACTTCCTGTTGTGTCTCTGTACAGGAAGTGAAGAGACGTCTCTACACAGTCAAAAAAAAAATCAGACTGACGGGGGTTTTAACCCTTCCGTGCTCTACCCATAACTAAATAAATTTTTTTGACTATACATACATTTTAATTGTGTGTCTCTTCTCCGGTGTAATTCCGTTACATGTTAAAAAGTGATTTATATATATATATATTAAGTCAAACTGCTTTTAAGCTCAAATGCTGATTAAATCACTTACAATAGCTGCTGCTTCCTAAATTTTTTGGTTTCTTGCAGAATCAGCTGGTCCCCTGAGAACTGGTCCTGATTTCCTGTTTTAGGGTGGCTCTTTTCCCTTGCAGGGTCCTATGGAGCCACCCTTGTGTGTGCTAGTACAAACACAAAGGCACAGCAAGGCAAGTCATTCCCCTCCTCCCTGCTCCCCACTCTTCCTGTCCTCAAGCTAGTAGACGGTGAGCTGCCAGAGACTGCTCTGCCCCTTGTGATCTTGTGCTGGACCGGAGGTTCAGGGAAGTTGAGCTGAGAGAGCTGCAGCTGTATGGAAACATGATGACTGTACGTGGTTGAGCAAAAATGTAAAGCTAATGAAGGTATAACTACAAGTCCCATGAGGGATTGCAAGACTCTGACAGACACAGACATGACTACTGGAGGCAGGCAGAGACATGATGGGATTTTGTAGTTTTACCACAGCTGAATTTGGGGCTTGTAAAAAAAGACTAGCGATGAAACTGGTTTGTTTATTTTATTGCAATCTGTGATTCATGAACAGGTCCTCTTATTGTACATGTATTAGGAAGTGGCCCACCCCTCTTCCCCGTCAGTTAACAATGCACGGCGTCTTCCTTTCCTCATACTCCACCATGAACTCCGGGTACGCCTGCTGTTTTTCAAACACCACAAAGACGGACGGATTGTAGACGTTGTCCACGCAGGAGTCGTAAGTCTCGCTGCTGCCGTATTTCTGAGGCGGGCGTCTCAGCGTGGGATTCCCATTGCTAAAATGGCCGACCAGCACACGAGCCACAAACATGGTCCGTGTCCCCAAGGAGCCGACCGGAGAGCATTTGTGGGCGTACAACGCATCCCTGGCGAAGTAACTTCCTGTTGGGAGAAAGTTTACAAGTTACGTAAGATAAAAATATTGGGATGATTGGATACATTATATGGAGAGGTCCCTGGACGCTGTCAGGGAATGACCGGGAGGTGGGCACTATTTGGTGTCTTCTTTTACTTTCCATTTTGGGGCCTGCAGGTTCGCTCTAAGCTACATTCACTCCTGCGTGTTCCATGAACACGCGCCGAACGCACACAAAAAAAGCATGCTTTGAAGGAAACGTGGCAAAACGCGCAACATACTTGCATTGCCATTAATTTCTAATGGCACCCCAAACCCATCCAGGAAGATGCGCATTTTTGCTCCGTGTTTATGCACATTAAAACGTGCACAAACGCGGAACGCATGTTGATAATTTACTACATGAGCTTTCTTGCCACGCTTGTTGCGCATACAGGACCCCATTGAACTCAATGGGGACGCGTGGCAAACGCGGCACACAAACATGCACAAGTGCGCAAATGTAATGTTGTGCATTCCCTGAATGCCATGTGTGAATGCAGCCTTTAGTCGCTCACAGGTAAGCGCAACAAAACACTCTTGCGTATGCTAGTACAAACACACAGGCACAGCAAGGCAAGCCATTTCCGTCCTCCCTGGTCCCCACTCCGCCCTCTTCCTGTCTCCAAGATAGTAGATGGACAGCTGCCAAAGACTGCTCTGTCCCTTGTGATCTTGTATTGGACAGGAAGTTCAGGAAAGCCGAGCTGAAAGAGTTGGAGCTGTTCAGAAACATGATGATTGTAAGTGCCTGGAGAGTTTAATACTACTTTAGCTATTACAATATGTACTCACTGGAGTGTAAACATGAATGATTGGCTGGACGGTGAGTCAGATTACAAAAAATGGTAGCTAGCACTTAATTGGAGTGACAGGTACACTTTAATGGAGTACACTGACAATAGCCAAATGCGCATACATACATTTTCCAGATCATTCTGTGATAATGTGTAAAAATATTATAGTAAAAATTGTTGGCTCCTGCTGATAATCGTTGTAATATGCAAGTCGAAAAACTAACAATGTAAATTTTTATTTTTCAGCACATGGGTCTTAGGCCTCATTCACACGACAATCGGCCAGCACGTACTGCTCCGTGCTGCGCGCACGGCCGTATCGGGCATCTCCCGGGAAGGACAGGTGCTGCGTGTGATTAGTAGGCAGCCCCTGTCCTTCTCTATGGGAATACGTGGCTGTACGCCGCCCTACGCTCCTGTCTGCGTCCGAGCCGGGACACCCACACCTGTATGGACCTGCACTTGAGGTGAGCGTAGGGCGGCGTACAGCCGCATATTCCCATATAGAAGGGCAGGGGCTGCGTACTAATCACACGCAGCACCTGTCCTTCCCGGAAGCATCCCGTTACGGCCATGCACGCAGCACGGAGCTGTACGCGCCGGCCGTTTCTTGTGTGAATGAGGCCTAATAGTAAAATATGGAAATATGGAATGTATACAACGGTGGCACTCCCAACATTACTCCTCCTACTGCTGATCATTTATGGATAGCACCATCTAGTGGCTGAAAGCTGCAAGTGCAGCCCATTCACAATAGTGGAATGCAGGGGAATATGTCTTTCATATACTGTATTTTTCTATGGCTCAGACTGTCCAGTGCAGAGGAAATAGAAGCAGAATTAAGAGACGTAAGAGAAACTGTATGACTAAGCACCTGTGTGCGGGTCTCGATTAAGTTACTGTATTATGCTTTTATGAAAAAATAATGAAAGAGTTGAGACATAGCTAATGTACAGTCATCCAATTTTTCTATATAGAAGTAAAAGCAGAATACTGGATTTCTTAAGTATTTTCTATATCAGTGATTGTAAATCTGGCCACACACATTACAATCTGATTGAACAATCTCCTCTAGATCTACCAACAATTACATTGTGTGTAGGGCTGGACCTTTTACACTGGATCAGGGTATTGCATTTCTAGAATACTGTTTATTAAGGAGTCGCGAAAATTGCTAAACACAACATATGTCTTTCAGGCTGACCTTGTCCGTACTCGCCGCCGTTAGTACCGCAGATACGCCAGTCGAAGCTTTCTCTACAGATGGCATCAATGTTGGCAAGGTATGTGCCATGAAACAGCTGGCGCTCGTTCACGGTGCTGCTCAGAGTTTTACTCTTCATCTGATCCTTTTGTCTGAGACACAAAAACATGTTCAATAAATCATCTGAAATGAATAAAGTTTGTTTTAAAAATTCCCACCTACAAAGCTTCTGGTCACTGCGCTGTTACTTCCGAGAAACTTAATATATAAATACTGTTTGTGTGTTTTATATATATATATATATATAAATGAAGAATCTACACTTATCTTTACATGATATGGCCAAATGTATGTAAACCCTCCCCATTCAAATCACTGAGTTCAGGTATCTCCAGTGAAGGGTTCTGATGCCCTGCAGCAGGGGTGTCCATTAGGTCGATCGCAAAGCAAACACAGGTAGATTGCGATCGGATCACTGACCAGAGCTCCCTTCCGTGGTGCTAGTGCGGCTGAATGTGTCAGATGCTGCAGACGGGAAGGGGTGGGACACCGCGGGAGGACAGGACAGCGCACATGAGAGGAGATGTGGGAAGCTACTGCCATGCAGGTAAGGAAAGACAGCCAGGAGAGAGAGCAGAGAGAGAGAGAAGAGACAGCAGAAAGAGAGAGAAGAGAGATAGAAGAGGCAGCAGAGAGAGAGAAGAGACAGCAGAGAGAGAAGAGACAGAGAGAGAGAAGAGACAGCAGAGAGATAGAAGAGACAGCAGAGAGAGAGAAGAGACAGCAGAGAGAGAGAAGAGACAGCAGAGAGAGAAGAGACAGCAGAGAGATAGAAGAGGCAGCAGAGAGAGAGAAGAGACAGCAGAGAGAGAAGAGACAGCAGAGAGAGGGCCTGTTCACACCACAAAGTCTGAGTTCCAGAGTGTACGGCCTCTGCAACGCAAGCCGGCCGGCTCCCTGTGTTCAGGGGTGGGAGGGGGCGTGGCAGTGCATTGAAGTCAATGGCACCGCAGCCACACACATAGTGCGATCGCCCACACCCGGAACACAGGCACATTAGTACCTGCGTTCCAGTCCAGTGCGATCTGCAAAAATAGTGCTTGCCGCATACTATAACATTATAGACAATTTTACTCTTCCAACCTTCTGGTATCAGTTTGGTGAAGGTCCTTTTCTGTTCCACCATGACTGTACAAAGCCAGCTCCATAAAGACACGGGGTGACCAGTTTGGTGTGGAGGAACTCGAGTGTCCTGCCCAGAGCCCTGACCTCAACCCTACTGAACATCTCTGGGATGAATTGGAACACCAATTGTGAGCCAGGTCGTCTCATCCAACATCAGTATCTGACCTCACAAAGGGCCACAAATTTCCACAAACACACTCCAAAGCCTTGTAGAAAGCTTTGCCAGAAGAGTGGAGGCTGTTACAGTCCCAACATGGCCATGGTGATGGAATGGGATGTCTAACATGCTAATGAAGGTATAATGGTCAGGTATCCACAGACTTTTGTTCATATCATGTATACAGTATGTGAAGCATTTTTTTAAGCATCTCACCATTGCCTAAACTGCTAGTGCAGTGCATTTGTTTTTCAGAGGGATGCAGTGAACCGATTACAATAGCAGAGGAATGAGAATACTGAAAAATCCCATTCACAAACTGAGATATGCCATGCAGCCTGGAGTGGATGTAGACAGGAATTAGCTGCACAGGCGTTGTAGGAGTTCAGTAGCACTGAGATGTACCAAAAGATAGATACAGTTAGAGCTGCAGCTAACGATTATTTTCAAAATCGATTAGTTAGCCGATTATTAAGTTCGATTAATCGGTTAATCGGATAAACAATACAATACATTTTAAAAAATGGCTCCAGTGATGGACTACTAGTTTGTATTGAGATTGCACTCCATCACAGGAGCAAGCTTGGAGCGGTAGAAGTAAAAAAGAAAAGAAAAAAAAAATAGTGGTGTGCAATATAGTGAAAAGGAAAGTGTAAAATTATGCAGCATTCAATGCAGAATGGCACCGACTATAGAGGACTACAAATCCCAGCAATAGTACATTATAGCTGGCGGTATTCTGCATTGCACTGTATAATGTACTATTGCTGGGTTTTGTAGTCCTCTATAGCTGGTGGTATTCCGCATTGCGCTGTATAATGTATTATTGCTGGGATTTGTAGTCCTCTATAGCTGGTGGTATTCCGCATTGCGCTGTATAATGTATTATTGCTGGGATTTGTAGTCCTCTATACAGCGCAATGCAGAATATCACCAGCTATATTAGGAGCACCCAGCAGTGTATAATGTATTCCTCTATAGCTGAGGTTCAATGCTCTGTATAATATACAGCACAATGTATATTCAGCTATAGAGGAATACAAATCCCAGCAATACATTATAGAGCACCACGTGTGGGAAAGTGCAGGCTTACCTGAGCAGTCTTCCAGCAACTTGCTTCTGAGATCGGACCTATCGGCGGCTGTCATCCACCCACACCTGCTCCTCCTTACTACATCTCCCCGCGTCCCTGTGCCGATCGTGGATGTGGGCGGGCGGTGAGTGTGAGGCGGGGAGGAGGTGCGGCGTGAAGATTGTGGATGCTGGCGGGCGGGTCTGGCAGCGGCGAGCGTGAGGTGGGGAGGAGGTGCGGCGCGCAGCGCGTGTGGAGCCGTGAACAGGGCCAACTGATCAGAAGCCGATTAATCGATTATTGAAAAAGTTGACAACTTTTTCAATAATCGATTATAATCGATTATGTCGATTAGTTGTTGCAGCCCTAGATACAGTGGGATTAACATCTACATTCATTACACCAAAATACAAATTACTGTACATATGGTAAATCAATGTAATAAACACACAGGGATTTCCCTTTACATTGCTACACACTCCAACATAAAACAGAATACCAGTATGGCACAAAGACACTACATTCCACATATTGCACTTATATATTGATACTACTGGAGTCATATAATGATACCGTGTAATACATGAATATATTCACCAGTCATATAATGATACCGTGTAATACATGAATATATTCACCAGTCATATAATGATACCGTGTAATACATGAATATATTCACCAGTCAAATAATGATACTGTGTAATACATGAATATATTCACCAGTCATATAATGATACCGTGTAATACATGAATATATTCACCAGTCAAATAATGATACCATGTAATACATAAATATATTTGGGGTCATTCTATATTACAAGGAAGCCCTGAGCTCTGTTTTCGGTAATAGCAGACAACTCACCGATTATAGCGCTCCCAGAGGACGGAGTTCTGAATCTGCCAAATGTTCTTCACTGTATGGTCGGAGATCGTGTTGCTGAACATTGCAACGATGTTTGTGAACTCTCTAGAATTTTGGGATAAAATTATTTTCTGCAAAAGAAAATTAAAGTTTTTCATTTAATGCAAACCTGATTTACATTCTTGGGAAAAATAGTGAAAGAGTACCTGTCATTTGGTGGCAGCTTCTTACTAAAAACAAACACAGCCTAGCAATTTCCTAGTAACTAGTCACTTGCTGCATGAATATGGTTCCATTTAAGGATTAAATCTGCACTAAACAGATATTTCAGTTTTTGCTGGCTGTTGAAGAGTTAAACCTCCTGACAGTCCCGATCTATCTAGCCTCTATCCTGCAAGTCTACTACTGGGTCTGCACACCTACTGTTCCCAGGTCTAAAATACCAAAATATTCCACTATCCCTGCACTGAGTTGTTAGGTCTACATATCTGCCGTGGCCATTATAAGAGGCCCCCACCATCCCTGTGCTGAGTTCCTGGGTCTGTACACCTGATGTGCCCATTATGAGGAGTTTCCACCATTCCTTTGCCGAGCTCCTGGGTCTGTACATCTGCTGTGCCCATTATGAGAGGCTCCCACCATTCCATTGCTGCGTTCCTGGGTCTGTACACCTGCTGTGCCTATTATGATGAGGACCCACCATTTCCACTGGATTTTTTAAACATTTTTTATTGTAGAGAATGTAACAGGAGGAGCTGCAACACACAAAGGTCAGCGGGAACATCCCGGCATGCAGCAAAAAAGTTGAGCAGCATTATAGATCTCACTGTTGAAGCTGTAAGACATATAAGAAGCCAAGGGCTCTATCAGTCTACCAGGATCCACCTATAACTAAAATAACATTTTAGAGTGTACTGGCAAGGTTTGTGTTTAACGTTCATATTAAATGTTTCCTCCCCATCGTACCGTGTACCCGATCTTCTGCACCTCCATGTCCCGTTGGGGTGTATAGATTCTATTTATGAGATGGGATTTAGGTTGTGTCTGCTGTATGCTATCCGTAGCAGATTTTGTGCTGTAAAATAAAAGCAAATAACTGATTGGAACCATCTGCCATCAAGTGGTGACTCCACCAACAGCTCCTACATCTAATCAAGTAAAATATATATTTATTAGGAATGCGCCGATACTGGTTTTTCAGCATTGAGTACAAGTACCGTTTGTTTTTTTTGGTACTCGCCGATACCGATTACCGGTATCGGAAGTCCCATAAAGGAAACCGGGCGGCGTGTAATGACTCGTCGCCTAGCTTCCTGATTAGCCGGGAAGCTGTCTCCATGCTCCCTCATCACAAAGTGATGAGGGAGCATGGAGCCGGCTTTCTGATTGGCCGGAAAGCCGGCTCCATGCTCCTTCGTCACCAAGTGCATGGAGCCGGCTCCATGCACTTGGTGACGAGGGAACATGGAGCTGGCTCCATGCACTTGGTGACGAGGGAGCATGGAGCCGGCTTTCCAGCCAACCAGGAAGCCAGGCGGAGTGTAATGACTCGCTGCCCGTCTTCCTGATACCGGAAGTTCCATTATCGGGATAAGCATCGGAAGCATTTGGCCCAGTACTCACCAAAATACTCGGTATCAGCACCAATACTGACAATAGTATCGGTGCATCCCTAATATATATATATAAATTAAAAGTAGATTGCAACTTCCTCTTTGTCATGGGGGGATTCTAATTCCAGTCTTGGATTAAGCTGAACAGAGGATGCATCGAGCACCCGACACACACATTGGTCTCTCCCTGGTGACCAGCTTCCAGAATGTGTTAGTGTGTTGTAAACCCCTCAGTCACCAATCCCTAGCATATGTGCAAATTACATATATTAGCCCCATCGGTGACGAGTCTCCAGAATACGTGTATTAAGACAACAGTGACCAGTTATTAAAACATGTGAATTTACTCCTCACTGTCCATTGTCTGAGGTATTTGCATTAACCCCTCAGGAATCAGTCACTAGCATAAGTGCAGTAGACTTTAAATTGCCAGTCCTTTCAGTATGTGATTTAAGCCTTTAGTGGTCCCCAGAGTAAATGTTAACCCCCCTCCAGTGACCATGGTCCAAAGCGTGCGTATTAACACCTCCAGAGTTCATTGTCCAGAGTATGTGCCTTTAAGATGAACTAAAAAAAAATAGTAACGGTATGAATAAAGAGATTTTAATGCAATATTCCCCTTTAATCTGCATCTGTTCCCCAGCGTCAGTCTACCCACTTCCTCTGAGCCCAGGCTGTTATGGGCCCACCACCTAAGGCAACGTCCTCACATAACTCAAAGACTGACTTCAATGAATGGAGTAAGGACCCCCATCCACTTTATTTGACACTTTTTAGTGCAGGGAAGGAGGGACCTTGGAGGGACTGGAGGTGCCCCTTTTCATCAATGGACATCCCCTAGCCTCTCAATGACCATTCTCCAATGTATGAGCATTAATGCCTTAATGACCAGTCTTAGGAGTGTGTGCTTTATCCCCTTAGTTATCTCTAGAAAATGTTAGTTTTCCTCTCAGGAGCCAGTGATCTGTGTATTAGTATGTACTGTATGTTACCTTCTTTGTGAGTAGTTCCTAAAGTGTGTACCCATCAGTGTCTAATCTCCACAGTAGTTGCATTATGATCAGTCACCAGAAAGTGTATATTAACCCATCAGTGACTGGTATTTGAAGTGGGCATCTTGGATAATTACTTAAAACCCCCAAAATATTATATTTTCTGAAAGCAGAAAACTGTAGAATACAAAGATGGTAGTTGCAAATGTTTATGTTACATGATATCTGCCCAACTGTTTTTAAAACCTATATTTTTATGAAAAAATACAATGAAACTAATTTTAGTTTGCACAATCATAATATAATTAATATTTTTTTTTAATTCAAAAGAAGAAACTGTGTCCATTAAATGGATACCAAATATGTCAAAACTAGGGATGCACCGATACAGTTTTTTCGGTATCGAGTACGAGCACTAATATTTTTTTTTCAGTACTCGCCAGTACCGAGTACCAGTGCCGTGTGCCTCAATTATCAGGAAGTCGGGCGGCGGATCATGACCCGAATTGCTTGTGAAGCCAGAGTTCCAGCGAAAGAGCGCCGGCTTAACTTGCCAAGCTAGGCTGCCTGACCAATCAGGAAGCTGGGAGGCGGGTCATTATGTGCATAGCACAGGTGACAAGCCCTCTTTCTGGAGATAGGGTCTATAAGACCCCTGATGTGTCCCCAGCATTTCTGAGACCCCAGGGTCTCAGAAATGTCTGAAACCGATGTCTAAAACACAGTGCATTTGCCCATCGAAGCCCTAAGTTGATTGATTCTCCACTTTCTGAAGTGGCCACATTGTTCACCCTGCAGGCTGCTGGTGACAGCCCCCCAAGGACAGCCCCAAGGACTGACAGCCAGCCACACTGCACATCCCCCAGGGCTGATGGCCACATCCTCAAACCCAACCTCCAGACTGATAACTCTGCTCACAAACCACACAGATTCCGTCAAGTGATATCAATTATTTTAATACATTTATTCAATACATAAACACACATTTTGTTTAAATCTGTAAGTCCAATATACTAACATTATTATATCTACAATATATTGCAGTGGTAAACCATGCATGAGAATGGGGCACCCAGGAACAGTCCTAGCAGGTTTGTCCTGCACTTTTATTTAGCAAGGCAGCAAACGCACACAGTTCAGTTGGAGGGCTTTCCATAGCATAAAACAACAAGACATCTGCATGTACAAGCCACTAACTAAGCTCAGGTCAGTTTCTGACTAACAAGGTGTCCTCTAATGAGCTCCCCCAAAACAAGCAGGCAGCTCTTTTTAGTGTCCTGTCAGCGCTCAGCTTTTTCACTCAGCAGCTGGTTCTCAGGGCAGAGACTGAGCCCTAAGCATCAGTCCAGCTCGCATATATAAAGGACCGTGGACAGCTGAGACTAATAAGGTCTGGCTATATACTCTATGTAGATATAATGTGTTTATTTTTTACACATGTACATTATTTTTTTCCTCCTATACCATTAAAAGTATACACATTTGGAGCATGTCCCCCACCAATGTCTTTATTCTTCCTGTACAACGCGCACCCGATGTGTACAGTGGGCACACTACAGTACATTACATAAGGATACATTACATAAGGATAGTCCTGATGAAACTGGTTCATTTAGATCAGCACAAGAGCGGTGTTTTGTTTGGAACATTTCTTCCAATTTGCAAAATGTTCACTGTTGATGCATAGTGAAAAATAATTAATATTAGGCAGACTAGTAAAAAAAAAACAGCATAAGAGGAAATAAAAATGCAGCTTCCAGAAAGCTTATTCCCCTGGATCCTTTTAGTGATTGACTACAATTGGTGTACGGAAGTCCTAAATAAGCACAGAATCGTCATAAGTTAAAGGTGTCTACCAGATAAATAAAGTTGGGTTGTTTTTACTTTAATCCAAGTAGACGAAAGGGAACGAAGTTACCACCGAAGAGCAAAAACGGTTCAGATAAGTTATTTTTCAGTGACAAACGACAGTTTGGAACCTAAACAGAGCTTTACGATGTGATATTTCCAATTACCTTCCTCTCAACATCTTCACATTCTGGAAATCAAGGAATTTGGGTCTCCGGCGCACCTCCCGCTCTGTCATGAAATATGAGTTCCTTTGCTTCATCTCTGAAATGGGCCAAAAACAAATTATACTTAAAGAGCAAAGACTGAAAGGAAAATCATAATAAATAACAATAGAAAATTACATTATAGAAACAGATTGCTGAAAACATTCATATTATATACCAGTTAGCAGAATTGTATACATGTACAGTTAATATGACTGAGCATAATCCATTTTATATTAGTGGTAGCCATTTTAATCTCTCTCTCTCGCCTATATGACCAAAGATATGTAGACCCCCCCTTTCCTAATGAATAAGAGTTCAGGTGCCTCCAGTGAAGGGTTCTGTGAATAATATAGCATACAAAGACATTTTACACAATTGTGCTCTTCCGCGCCTTGTTGTAACAGTTTGATGAATGTAATTTTCTGTTCCCCCATGACTGTTCCCCTGTGCTCGAAGCCAGCTTCCTCCCAGATAGCAAGCAAATGAGCTGCAAGTTTGAAAATGACTTGCTAAACTATTGCAGACTTGCCAAGCTTCACAATTTTGTTGCACAATTACAGCAAGTCTGCATTGCAAGTCTCCAGACCAGCGAGCTTGCAGAGCTCTTGCTAAGACCTGCAGGACTCTTGCTGTAGACTTGCCAAGCAAATTTGCTACAAATTCAAAAAGCGTCAACTAGAACTTGTGCTGCGAGTGTTCTGCAAGTCTACAACTTGCCAGGAATATGTGCAGCAAGTTAACAAAATTACAATTTCACCCTGCCACAAGTTTGTAGCAAGTTGTTCTTGCTATCTGGGCTATAGACATGGTGCGAGCAGTCTGGTGTGAAGGAACTTGAGTGGCCTGCCTCAACCCCAATGAACATTTTTGGGATAATTAGAAATTGTAATTGCGAATCAGGTCTTCTCATCCACCATCAGTACTCAACATCATAATGGGCACAAATTCCCACAGACAATCTAAAATCTTGTGACAATCCTTCACAGAAGACTGGAGGATGTTATAGTCACAAATAAGGGTCAACGCCATATTAGCGCTTAATGTTTAGAAATGGGATGTCCAACAAGCTCATATAGGAGTGATGGTTAGGTGTCCACAGACTTTGGCTATATACTGTCTGTATACAGTATATGTTTGCTGCCTCTTTCCATTTGAATATTCTTTTTAGGAATGCACCGATATATCGGCCGCCGAAACATATCGGCCGAAAATGGCACTTTTGGCATAATGCCGAAAGTGCCATTTTCTGGCCGCTACAGCGGTGCATTCGTGTATTCTCTTCTCCCCGATGGGCGCTGCTCTGTGCCCCAGCGAGGAGGAGAGAAACTGTGACAGCCGGCTGAGAGCTGCGCTGTTAGCGGCAGTCATCTCTCCTCCCACACCACTCAGCCTCCTGTCACAGATAGGCAGAGTGCTGTGGGGGCAGAGATAGCCAGCGCTGTCACAGGAGGCTGAGCTCTCCTCCCTGCACTGCTCGCTCAGCCTCCTGTAACAGCATGTCAGGAAGGAGAGCCAATGCAAACACTCAGTGATCGCTAACAGGGCTATTCACAAAAGGGTGAAGAGTTGGGAGAAGGCAGGAGAAGTGAACAATCTAGGACAACATAGCTGAACTGGAACATTTTTCCAAATCAGCTAGTTTGGCCTAGATTGTTCACTTCTCCTGCCTTCTCCCAACTCTTCACCCTTTTGTGAATAGCCCTGTGAGTGTTTGTACATAATTGATGACAGAATATGGTTACTATATCCTCAATTATGAATGAATGGGAAGTGATCTACATCACCTCCTTTTCATTCATGATTGTGGTTATAGTAAACATATTCTGTTCTCATGTTATGAATGAACAAGAACACTCATATAGAGGATTCCTGTTTATTTATAACAGGGGCTGCAGAAAAAGAGATTGAGGACTCAGTGTCCCTAATCTCTTTTTCTATTTTAAAAGGGAAATATCAGGGGTCTGTTTAGACCCCTAATATTTCCCCGTAGCCCCTAAAAGTAAAGTAAAAAAGAAAAATATTTAATAAATATAAATCAATAAAATAAAAAAGTAAATAAAAAGAAAATATTTTTAAATGTTTGAAAAAGTTAACATAAAAATTTTCAGTTTCGGCCTGACATTTTTTTTAAATTTTGGTTTCGTTTTGGTTTTTAAATTTGAATTTCGGTGAACCTCTAATTTGTTTACATTCAATAAATTTGTAGTCACCCAAAATGTGGAAACCATTTTACCTCCACCATTTGTACTGAAGTGTAGAGCTCCAATCATCCTTTCTGCACTGCATCCCAGTGTATGTAGTTTGCAATCTCAAATTCAAGCTGAACTCCGGCCTTGCACAATTGTACCAACTCCTCTCCTGTACTGAAATTGCTTTATCTGATTTTACTGCTTTTCACAATGTGCACTAGAATCTGCAGAAAGTCAGACAGAACCTGCCTTATTTCCTGGCTGGAGGACATCCAGCATCATATAACCTTTTCCTTCCCAGCCTGACTGTCCCTGGCCCGCACCTTTCCTTCATTGGATTTCAGTTCTTTCACTAATGGAGGCGCAGCATTACATGTGGGCACTACCTAGGGTGGTCTTCATGCAAATAAAGCCCGCTTAGGAATCCCCACTACTCCAGACTAACACCCATTAAAGCATTTTGATATTTGCATAACCCCTCCATTCCCAACAGGTACATCTTGCTGATCTATTATAAGGAACTTGGTGCACACCTTGGCAGTCAATATAATAGCTCTGGTTTTCAGCAAAGAAAGGGATCGTCCCAGTAGGGTCAGACAGGTAGATGCTCTCCAGGTCTGATGATAGAATGGTGGCATTCATGTTCTCTCTGCTCTAGAAAAGCAGAAACAGACAGGAGATTAATTATTCTATGGCACACACAGCACCAAGCCCCAAGATCAGAGACACAATTGGGGTATATCATACAATAGAGAAGTGTCTATTCTGCAAGGCAATATGATATCTACAAAAGTGTAGCCGTTATTACAAAGGCAGCTAATAAAGAATCAGTTCACTCAATAATGGAGACATGGGTTGGCACTGGCTGGTTCTTATACTTCACAGGCAAGCAAGCACCTAACCCTTAAACTAACCCTCAAATAAACCCTTAACCATAACCCTTTCTCCTCAGTCTTATCTTCAACCCTATCCCAGATCCTTTACCCTAACCCAGCTTCCTACATCCTTGCCTTAACCTCCAATCCACCTTCATCCTCAACCTATTTTCTAACCCTAACATTTCCCCCTTAACCTAGCTCTCAACTTAAAATTAAACTGGTCAGCTGATAAAAATATCTTTTAAGTAGTGCCCCTTCCCCCATAGAGTAAGGGTTTGTCTAGTCTAGTGGGATATAACAGATACGAAAACGTACTCTATATCTTGCTCCCCTGGCAGCCATAGAACGTGCGTGGGCCCTCGACATCCTCACATACAATGCAGGACCTCTGACTGTGAGCGAAGGCTGTCATGGACAACCACTTAGGCTTACAGTACAATACTCCTCTCTGTACTATTGAAACCTATTCACTATAGCCGCAAGTAGAAAAGGACTTGCTGGACGTTATGTCCAGGTGTAGGTACAACGTAACCCTTCAACTGCAAACATAACCCTTCAACCGCATCCCAATTTTCAAACAAATCCCTAACTCTAATATTTCACACTTACCCTAAGCCTAACCCTTCTGCTACCCACAAATCCTCACACTTTGTTATTGCGACACCCTCTGGCAGGTGATACGGGCTCACCCGAGGCGCGGAGTCTAAGCACGAGCCAGTTTTCACCAGAGCTCATGATGTTGGAGATAGGTTTCGCTGCTTTCTGGTGCCAGGTCACGGCCCCAGGATTACCCCACCAAGGAATGAGTCGAACAAGAGGGCTCTAATGAGAAGGCAGTAATCCGGAGTGTGGTCAGGAAAAGGTAGAGGTCCTGACAGGAGAACCAGAAAATGGTCGGATGGTCTGGGTCAGCAGCCAGTAGATAGGAGATGAAGTCAGGCAACAAGAGCATAGTCGGAAACAGGCAGAGGTCGAGGCAGGCGGCTAACAGAGAGTGGTCAGACGGTCTGGGTCGGCAGCGAGTAATCAGTCGGTATGACAGGAGACAGGAGCGTAATCGGGTTCAGGAAGAATATCAGGGCAGGCGGTAAGCAAAGAAGGGTCAGACGGTCAGAAAAGAAATACAACGAGGCAAAGCTGCAGATTGAAGGTAAGTATTTCTGTTTTATTACCTTCTTGGGGCCTTTTAAAAGAAGAAAAAAAAATTACCAATTCCTTGTACCAATTTCACTTACCAATTTTCCGTACTCAGTCCAGATACCATACTCATTCTTCCAGTACCAACGCCACTCAGTGGACAGCACGCACTCAGAGGGCTGGGTGACAGACGATGGGGTGGCGAGCCTGCGGACTGACTTGAAACCAGATTTCATGGCCTGAAAGTCGATCAATTGGTACCTACAATACCAAGAAGGTGTAGTAAACTCAAACACTGAAATAAATCTGTATTAGTAAACCATAGGTGACATTTTTAGCTGTAGAAGAGAACAGAGCAATGGAAGGATTCAATGCTTTGTATAAATACAACAGGGTGCCTGGTGTGGTTTCCTTCTTCTGCAACAGTTCTTTAACATATACATTACAAGGTAGAAATTCTGTGTTGTTTGAAAGTACCATAAGATGTTGTTTGTTTGAAAGTACCATGTCAGTATCAGGTGCCCCTACCTGTCCATCTTGGGATCACAGTATGTCCTCTCAATATCCTCCATATTAGGAAGGTCATCCCAATCTATTCCACTGAACAGCTGCCAGCGGTACGGTAAGTAGTAGTGCATCTTAGTGCATTTACCTGTGAACCAAAAAGAACGCCAACTGTCATCCCTAGGCAGGTCTCCTTACAAAACAGAACTGGGCGTGGGGAAGGGGGCAGTTGGGGGTTATGAGGAACACTTATTTCAGCCCATGGCTACTCACCTCCCAGATCACAGTACTTCCAGAGATTAGCATGACAAATTTCTGTTGTCTGCTGCTGCGATGCTAAAGCAAAAGAAAAGAGATTAAGCAGCTGTTCATATAGAATTTCTCAGTTTTTACTGTATATTTAAAACAGAATCTTAGTTCTTCCGTAACCCGAGTTCATTGATGCCTAAATACCCAGACTGAATATATATATATATATATATATCAGCACCATTATGGTAAGTCACTGTGCTTTTGCACATCGGGCCATCTTTATTTAGAGGTCCTTCGGATGGTGGGAAATTCTGGTGAAGTTTCCATACATTCTTTACATGGGGCTATCTTTATTACAGGTCCATTTTTAAAGAAAGACACTTTAACCTCTGTACAGGACACCAGGAATGGGTCCTAGATGGACGATATATCCCTCCTTTGTTTAGGTGGTGGTCCCGTTGAGGTCACCTTGTATTCAGGGTCCTCACCAAGCAGGGTGAGGGGTTCCAGGTCGGACTTGTAAGGGAAACTGCTAGGCAGTCTTCCCACAGTTGTTGAATATACATGGGTCTGGAATCCGGAGGCTCAGAGAGATTTTTGGGTGGGACAGAGCCTCCATCCCTGACTACAGGCAATTCAGGTAATAAAAGGGTTAACCCACCAGCCAGAGGGCGTGTTAAAAAGGAACTGGAAGCCAGTCAGTCTGTGAGGAGTGTTTGGAGCAGGACACATGGCTGTGTGTCTTAAGCTGTGGAGTACAGTCTACCAAGACACTGCTGGGGCACCTGTGTCCATACTGGAACCCTCTGTGAGCAGGCTGGGACTCTAACCCTTAGGCTGGGACTCTAACCCTTAGGCTGGGACTCTAACCCTGAGGTGGGACATAATATACAGGCACTGAGCCGAATCTTGTATTTGCTGACAATAGGCCCTGTTGATTTTTTTCATTCTGCTGAATATAAGCCATTTTATTTAAATGTTTGTGGAAAAGAATAAAAGTTTATTTGCTGATACGTCTGGCTACGGGTCATATCCGTCCTGAATATTACACCTCCCATAAAACTCATCCCATCTACTTACATTTTTCAGGTGATATAGAAGAAACACTGTTGGCTGGTTGAGGTTGGGTAGTTGTAGAGCTGGTGGCCTTTGGTGGCAGACCTAAGAACTCATAAGCTTCATCAGTTAGTGAATATTGGGCCTTGCTTTTTGTCTCGGTTTGTATGATTGGTTTCACACTAGCCTGGAGTTTTACGGAGGATGTGTCAGTTCCAACAGACGCAATAATTGAACTGGAACTTGAAGATGCACCCATGTGACCATAGACTGTACGGGGAGCTGCTTTCGGTTGAGTGATAGAAGAGCTTGCTGTGGTAAAGTGCATTGATGGAGGTGTTACTGGAGCAATGGATAGCCTTGTCATTGAAGAACTCAGAGTCTTACGTGGTTCTATATCTGGTTTTTGATTAGGAATAGATGTTTTTGTTGTTTTGTTTGCTGAAAAAATCTCAGAATTATTGGATACTGGTAGAGTTGGAGGAACTCTTGAGTAGGGTGCATGAATGTGGGGTTGGTAGGTTTTCATAAGCGGTGCTGGCGTTACACTAGCTGCATTTGATGAGCCATAATCAACTTTCAGGGGGCTGTTTGATGTTTTAGTAAGCTCAGAGGATGATCTAGTATTCAGTGGCTCCATTGGTTGGGCAGGAGTTTGAAGCATTAATGGCTTATTGGCACTAGCTGACTTTGCTGAGCTTTTAGTAGCTGGTATAGATCTTGTTCCTTCTAGTGGTGTGACCCCAGCAGAAGATCTGGCCTTTCCTGGCTGCGATGTGTTTGGGGCAAACCAATCGTCCATTAGATTGTCAAGCTTTGTTTTTGGATGTCCATGGTCACTACTGCTGTCACTGTCGTTGTAACCTTCATCTCCCGACCGTTGGCTCATGCTACACTGCGAAGGCGGGCGACTGCTGGAACGCCAGCGAAATTGGGATCCTAAAGGTGTGGTAAATAACACAATTTAAAGTGGAACTCCATACATAAATGAAATGCTGTTTTGGGGAAGGGAAAGAAATAGGTTAAGAAATTCATGCAGTGTAACTATGAAAAAAACCTGGTGGGATTGTAGTGATAGGGAAGTGGTTGTAGGGCATTTTTAAGGAATGATAGCACTCCATTAGTGGCTATGGGAGTGCTTTGTGGTCCCTGTATCCATAGTAGTGGCCTGGAGGTGTGGAATACATGAGTGCACCCTAAAGAGAGAAGCCTGTGCAAGTGTGGGACTGTGAAGCCTGGAAAGCTTGGGTACCTATGGTGAAAAATGCTTTTTCATTTTAAGTTCCCATAATCACCTTTACACTGGCTGAAATTTCAAACTAGACGGAAGTCTGACTGGCTGTCCTGGAGACTGCAAGTGGCTGTACCAACACATATTGTGCAGACATGATCTATTGTTGTCACTATCAGGAACCCGGTCCAGAGCAATGATGAGCAATTGATTTTAGACAGAGTGCATGTAGACAGGAAGTGGCTGTAAAAGGCTGCAGGTAATCAAGAGCACTGAGATGGAAAATAAAGATGAGAAAAGCTGAAGACAGGATTTTATGTAAAAAAAAAAGTAAAGGCTACACAGTGAACACAACGAAATAAATGTCCAATTAGGGTTCACATCTACTGTAAGGGGTCAATTTATAATCAATTTGTATAGCCATTTGCCCTGCAAATCCCTGTGAACATTAGTTGTGTGAACAAATGTTCTTGGCATATTTATTTGGGGGGGATCAAACATAATGTAATACACATTATGACCACTAGATGGTGTTGAGGGGTATAGGAAATAATGAGTATTCTACTCAGCCCGCTCTAGTGGCCATAATGTTGTATTACAGTATAATACAGTCAACCTGAAAAGAAAATAAACTATGAACATTCGTTTTTGCCTCTATTTGCACAGAGCGAACATTCACAGAGATTTGTAGGGCACATGGGTCAGCAAATTGACCTTTAGAGTAAATAAGCCCTAACTTTACGTTTTGTTTCATAAACAGTTTTTTTCATTAAAAAACTTTCCACCGTTTCTCATCTCAGCCATACTGCGAATGGATCTACAATTTGTTTATTAATAGACCCCAGCGTATTAGTGAGATAATATTAAACTTGAATGGCTGGTATTTGTATCAGTACCTTCATTCCTTTTCTCTCTGCTGTCCAGCAAGTCCTGAGATCCAGCTCTTCTTCTATATCCCGGCTTTCCTCTCCCTCTGCCCCGAGACAATCCTCTCGCATCCCTGGGGCCCTCATTTCTCGGTTCGTCCCTCAGTGCCTGGTGCCTCCCCATGTATTTCAGTGCACAGAGCATCTGAAAGTTCTGGAGGGTCTTCCGGCTCAGCCAGCTCCGGGTGAGCAGTAATTTGGATTCTAGGAGGTTATGCGATCTTTTACAGAAGCGGTTTCTGCAGTCCCCTCGGATGAAATACCCGCACACATGGACGCGTGAACAGTCCTCTCCTTCGTCACAGTTGTCTTCCCTGTAACTCCGACATTCCTGAGGGGGCAATGCAGCAACACTATTAGAGCAATTTAATAAACTGGTACTTATAACTGCATTGTTGGTGAAGGAGAAACAGGTAAAATAATAACCAATAACCCTCTCTGCCATTCACCAATGCTACACTTGGACGGAGCTCGCGGGTGGCGGCGGGGGGGCTTGAATGTGCTATACCACCACTAAAATTTCATCAAGCAGCCCTGTACCACTCCATCAGCAGGAAGCACTACATTCTCCCATTAAAATTTTAAATAATGAATCACACTGGATTCTGATCAGCAGAATTGGAGCTCAGCAGAGCGGACACACGGTGTAGTGATCTTGCGACTTTCTGACATCGAATCTATAGTTCCATTTTCTGGGTCTCAGGGATTGACATTCAAAAAGGAATTATCACCAGCACACCGAAGAGAAGAGTTCTTCATTGACAAGCAAACATCATGTCATGAAGATAAAGACGTTTCGGGGGCCACTTATGGTTCCTTCATCAGGCTCAATATGACTTATTGAGCTTAAGTGGCCCCGAAACGTCTTTCTCTTTGTGACATGATGTTTGCTCGTCAATAAAGACAAACTTTGCATGTAATCTCATTGGTATGCTGGTGGCAATTTGTTTCTGCATTCATCCGGGTGGTGCCACCCGCCATCATTTCAGCACCCTACTAACCAAGGAGGATACCAGTACGGAGTACGGTGGGACACACACTGGACTCAAGGATTGATATGACACATTCAAGTCGAAGAAGAGTAGCTGCTTGTGGAGCGAAGAGCTGCTGGTGGACTTTCTCCGAGGTGTTTGCCACAATGCTCTAGCATGTACAGCAACCGAGCGCTGCGCTCTCTGCTTTCCCCTCCGTCATCAGCACTTCCATCTTCACCAGGTTTCTTCCGGGTTCAGCGTCTTCGGCCAGGCGGGAGCGAGGATTGGGTGAGTATAACCTATTTTATTTTAGACCCTAGACCAAAATGAGCAGTTATCCCTTGCAGTGCGGGGGTAGCCCCACTTCAAGGGTTAATTTTGTACATGCCTAGAGTTCTTGTTTAATCAAAAGTTAGGAGACTGCACACCCTTAAACATGTATTGAAGCAGTATAAAGGTGCCCATACACTGGCTGAATTTCGGGTGGTTGTTAATGTACCGGCCGAAATTCGCACAGTGTGTGGGCAGGGCCGGATTTGGGGCAGCAGGGGTGTGGAATTCCTATGCCCCAACACCCAGGACATGCAGTTCCGGGCAGGTAGTTGTTTTCGACATTAAGCCCTGCTTTGGGCAAGCAGGGCTAAATGTACAGCGGGGAAGCCGCCGCTTGTGTTGTACAAGTGTTTTTCAGCGATGTTGCCGAGATCACTTATATGCAGGCTGCATACAGGGGGGCACATTGAGGAACCTGGCATTGGGGCAACAGAGAGAGTAAATCCGGCCCTGTGTGTGGGGCTGTCAGCTCCCTTTCAGCCGGCATTCCTCGATCAGCTGATCGAAGGAGCTGGCTGAAAAATCTTTGATCGATCAGGGCCGGCAGCCAATGAGCTGCCCGCTCTGATCAGATATTATAAGATTATAAAATGGCCAACTCTTATATTTTTCCATCAGCAGCAACTGTGGATCGATAAAAGAAAGATCGCCTGATAAGCATTGGACATGCTGAGCTGCACACACTACCAGTTCTTGATATTAATTGCTTATATGAAGCAGTCCACGATCAATAATCATGACTGAATTCGAATCATTTACATCACGAATATAAGCAAGCCAATAGATTTCATGAACTGGCAGTTATATGGCCTTTGCCTTGCTTATCAGGTAACCTGAACTTCTCTGCTCCACAACTGCTACTGATTAAAACAAATATTTAAAGTGGATAAGCTCACAAGACAAACAGGGAGTGCTCCAAATCCTTCCTCCAATGCAGTTCCATGGAACGCCAGTGCACAACCACGGCTTCCACCAGTCCTTCGTCAGAAACTGTGGAGAAATAGCAGCCCTGCTATTGCTATATAAGACCAGGCATAGCAGCCCTGCCATAGCTATATAAGACCAGGCATAGCAGTCCTGCCATTGCTATATAAGACCAGACACAGCAGTCCTGCCATAGCTATATAAGACCAGGCATAGCAGCCCTGCCATTGCTATATAAGACCAGGCATAGCAGTCCTGCCATAACTATATAAGACCAGGCATAGCAGTCCTGCCATAGCTATATAAGACCAGGCATAGCAGTCCTGTCATAGCTATATAAGACCAGGCATAGCAGTCCTGTCATAGCTATATAAGACCAGGCATAGCAGTCCTGTCATAGCTATATAAGACCAGGCATAGCAGTCCTGCCATTGCTATATAAGACCAGGCATAGCAGTCCCATAGCGGTAGCCCTGGGCGCAGGACTGAGGGGGGGCGCCATCACCGACCCCCGCTAAACGAAGCCCCTGGCCGCAGATGCAGTGGCTCCCTCTCTCTGCTGCGAAAAAAAAATTCTGCCCCGGGCGCCCATAACTCTGGTTACGCCACTGATGCCGGTCATACATGGATCGAATATTGGCCACGCTCTTTAGCGTGGATGGGGGGATCGAAAGGTTTTGGGTTGCACAAAAACAATCTTAATATGTATGGCCAGCTGTAGACTGCTTGTTGTATTCTATACAATCATATGCATTGAAGAACAAAGTAGAATTTCAAGAGCTTTTACTATAAACTGTAAGGGTGATACAAATTCTGCTTTATACTTGAATACATTACTATACTATAGAATACAACAAGCAGTCTGTGCAAT